AACAAAAGCATGCCTTATAAAAGATTTGTTGAAAACGAGTCTAGTGGACTTTCGTGAGTGATGGTATCGAAACTATCGCGTTCGGTTTGGACATCGAGAGCATCGGAATAGATAAAAGCTATGTACTGGGATTATGGAGACCGAATTCGAAATGAAAAGTAGTCGTGAACGAATCGAAGGAATCGGTTCCGAGACAGGTATCGAATCCATGGAATTGGAACACTAAAAGAAACGATTTAGCCCAGCATAGTGGCGAGGCAAAACCTGATAAATAAGCAAACTTTGACCTTTATTACCAACAATACTATCCTCCACATGTTTATCCAAGGATTATTGAATGATCTAGCTCCAGTGGTGCGGAATACCCATTTGATCTTACTCCGATTGAATCTGCCAGCACTTTATAGATGTCTCGTTCAAGAAGCATTGCCGATTATTTGTGATAGGTGAGAAATATTGTACGATGGCTAAAACAGTGTGCTATTATTGAAAGAATCATCAATCAAAATTTCAAATTATGCACCCGCAAAACAGGCAAAACGAATAAAATGTCCCGCCCTGTTTCGTTTATTTAAGAAACCTTTTTTCGCTATCTAACGAGTATTTGTACCAGCTCAAGAACTTTCATTCTCACTAACAAAGCACAGAAATATAAGAAAAGCTAGCTTCTCCGAATCTGAAAAAGAATAATACGACGTCGCCTGACAATTTTCCCGTAGCGACAATCGACTGCGTCCTTTGTTGCCGGATTTACATAAACGTAAATCGTGGACACTGTGGCAAAAACGTGATTTACGAGTACATTGGGAAAGTCAGTCATTTGCATGGTTTGCTTCGAAAGAGGTTTCTCCTCACAGATTTATTACGTAAAAATGTCAAAAAAAATCGATAAAATGTCAACTTGTTGATTAAGTAGGTTAGTGTACCTGCGCTTGCTACAAGTGAGCATGAAGTGAACGACAAGTTGACGCCTTGTGGTAAAACCTACGTCATAACATAAAAAACAACATAATATCAAAAAAAACGACATAATGTCGCTACTATACGTCATTTGTTTGACTGGGCGGTACGTAGGACCTTTGACCATTAGTCACTATGTAATGTACGTTAGTCGAATCTGTCAGTCCTGATTGCCCAGAAACCAGACAATGTCAAGGAAAAAGAGAAAGGGAAAGAGAAGAAAAAATGAAAAGAGCAAAGAAAAACAAGTGTTTAGTTTAAGATGAAACACGTAGACTTTTTGACTTGGTACAGGGATTAATTTTGAGATGAACTAAACAAATTTTGATTCAGGTTTTGTAAGAGTGTAATTTTGGGTTCACTAAAAGTTCACGCTAATTTTTTATTACAGTGCGAGCCGTGGCCTTGAATTTTTACGAACTTTCTTCACTGTGTACTCCAGTGCGTCACGCAACAGACGGTTCCTGTGCGATTGCGCTTGACTATAACGCCGCTGCGCCTGAAGCTTGACATAGTCCTTCAAGTAAGGAATGTCAAGGTCTCTGTGTAGTGTCTCATTTGAGACCATGGAGCGTTGCAAATTGTTCGCAAAGTTCGGCTTTGCAAACTTTGCATGTGTGTCTTGGCAAGAAAACACCAAGCCGCACATGCGTAAGTAATGGCTGGTCTAATAGGTAATCATTTTATATAGTCGAACTTTATTTATCAAACTTAATTTGGAGGATCTACGTAACAAGGGATATAATAGCCGAAACGCAATTTGGAATTTTGTTTTCAAGGCTGCTGGGTAACACCCAGATACTTGGCATAATTTATCCATGGTACACGATTGCCGTCTATAGAAACCTCTGCTGGGGGACCGCGACGTTTTTTGGTACAATAAGCAGCCTGAGTTTTCGAATGATTAATTTTAATCAACCACCGTTCCGCCCACTCTAGTACCTCGTCCATAGCACTCTGTAACCCACCGTGAACCAGATCACCAGTACACGACTGGGCGACAAGTGCAGTATCGTCAGCATAGAGGTAGACTTTACAGTCAGGGCAAGGGACATCATGGATAAAAAGCGAATAAAGGACCAAGCCCTGAGGAACACCGGCCCATACTGGTCGTGTTGTCGGCAAAACTTGGATCCGAAACTTCAAGAAAGGATTTCAGTAATTCTAGAAGCCAAAAAGGAAAACCAGTTAAAAATTGTCTTAATATTTATAAAAGTGTTGTTAGTGGAAAGCATAAAATATTTTGCTTTGGTAAGTTTCCCTGTTTTAATAATTATAGGTCTCCTAAATTTTACTTAAAATATGTCTCAAATCTTTGATGATTATTTTGATGATAAATCAATAGAAAGCTTTTGTTTTTGTTACCAAAATCTATGTTGCGTATCTCAATCGTTTTTATATGATTTTTTCTTAATAGTATCAATTAACAGAAGATATCTTCCTTTCAAAGTTGCCTTTACGTACCCTAATGTTCGTTTTTTCTAAGCTTACTTTTTAAGTTAAGGTTATTTTCATATAAATACATGTGTTTTTTGAATAAGTTATATTGGTAATAATAAATAATACGATATTAAAATATATAAAATGATTGTCTCTTGGCGCAGATATAATTTTTTATCTAATTACATCATTACATAGTTAAAACCAAGCATAAGCCGAATTTCAATTATACGTGGTTTTCACTAATTATTATCAACATAATGCGTTGCTTTTTTAGCCCGTACCTCCCATAACTAATAGCTATGGCCTAGTTTAGCATATTTTTTTCGTAAAATTGATTGCTCTAATATAAATTATATGATGAATAATCTTATTTTATTAGTCAAGTAAAAGTACAACATAAACAGCAAAAATATTTAACCGCGGTTTTCTCAAAACTTGTACAAGTGGAGATACGGGGTCTTCCTTGATAGGGCCGTACGGTTATCAAGATATGATTGTTTTCGTTTTTCTAGAGATAATGACACAAAATTAACGCGAGTCTGTTTTGTAATGTATACTCAACCAGGACAAACAAGCGGTTCGTGTAAAAAAATTACACCTTTTTTGAAACCTAGTTTTACTCACAAAACTGCCGTGATTTATCATGTTTTCATCGATATGCTATACATCATTTTGTGTCATTATCTCTAGAAACAAATTCAGCAGAAAAAAAACCGAAAAACGATCATATCTCGGTAACCGTAGCCCTTAGACCATTGCGGTTTCCATCAAAAATCGCATGAACAAAGCATCAACACGATCTTGAGTATACTTCAAGCTAAATTCAAATTCGATCGAATTAATACATCTTTGAGAAAAGAGCTGTTGAAAGATGCGACCCTTGGCAACACTGTGCTAAGGGCTAAGAGCTTCGTTAGACGAAGTTGACAGCCAGCCAGCGCTTCGCCATACTATCGCAAAGGCCTAAATCCGACTTTGAGGGACACACTAACAAACCAAAACAATCGCTTTGGGATTAGAAAAGCTATTTTTCCGCGTAGGGTGAACCATAAGCCACAGATAATGATCTAATAAGGAGATAATTGAATGTTTAAGATTAAGTTTGCTTATGGACAGCTAGTATGAACCCGCAACTAGATGAGACAATATGGTTTCCAACCGTGCGAGAAACAAAATAGGAACAACGTAGTCCTCAATGCAAATAACGTCATATATTCTGATTGTGAGCGTACGGATAGTATTCGTGATAGAGTCTCCATCGAAGCAGCATAGGAATAAAAAATAATAATGTTTCATGAGAGAGAGAGCATCAATATTAATACAAAAGTTTTCATTCCTGCTGGCGCGTCGTCTCAAGAATATTGCATTATTTCTTGAATATATATATATATATTTTCTTTATATTTCCACCAAATGGAGAAAAAAACTACCATAGTTGCAATGAAAAAACTGGAAAGGTGTTTCTAATAGTGAATTGAATTGGCTGAGGTTATTAGAACTGCGGAAGTCTTTATGTAATATCTTAAACGTATCCTGTGGATTTCGTGTGATAAATCTCCATGTTTCACTAACCACCAAATGAAACCACATATGTCGAATTAACTTTTCACTTACGTTTCAGCCACTTCAGTGGCCCACAAAATACAGATCAAATAATAGCAGTGACAATGTCAATGTGATTTGTACTTTGAAAGAGGCCAGAGAGATGATCTAAACGTCGGTAAAGAGTCATTACAACACATGTGTGTTCATTTGGCGCCCAGCCTTATGGAACGTCTCTTCTAATCAAAAAATCAAGAACGGTCGTACCGACCGGTTTTCGGTGTCAACTGTAAGACTGGGATCCCAATGCCAATGCGGTTTCTTATGCGAAATTAGGATTTGTTAAAACCTCGTACATTAGCTGTATGTGTCTAGATGTATCTGTTTTGAGATTATGTAGCGTGAATAATATTTGTTTGGCTTGTACCCGCGACACTATTCCAAAAATGGAACCGAGAATGGTCGCCGCTTTTATGACCCCAATTGAACCCTTTCCGGCTCATATACAGCATGTATGCGTTAATACATTGAAATCAGTGATCAAGTGGCAGTGAATCTGTTCACATTGTTGCACAGATAAGCGGTTCAAATGGTATAGGTCCTCTATCACATCTTGTTCCATATCATTTCCTGAAATAACGCTAACAAAATGCCGGTTGCACTATTTCAGACAAATATCAGCAAAACGACCATTGAACCGTTCCTTCTTAACCCTTAATAGCTACCCACGGGTCAAAATGACCCATCGATATGAGGTCCCCCCCACTTCGTATCTTTATATTAAACGTGAACAGCTGGCGGTGGTTCAGTATTCGTTCAGCCGCTGTGAAGTAAATGTGCATCGTAGTTTTAATCTAGTGACGTAGTTCATTCGACTGTAATGGCAGCCACTGGGTCAAAATGACCCGTGGATAGTATAAACGTTATTATTTTGTTCCGAATTACTTGAATATTTATGAACTATTGGTAGTATTTTTTATATGAAAAGGTAAGTTTTAACCACCATTTTTAGTTTTTTTTTATGAAGTATTTTTTTTTGATGTTTTCAGGTTATAATGGCTAAAGGACTTACTGATAAAGAGCTGGAACAAATTATTGAGTCTGATGAGTTCTGGGAGGATTTCGACGTGAATAATACTGCATCATCGTCATCTTCCACTTACGAATACAATGAAAATACTATTGAAAAGGAGGATAAACGTGATGCATGCGAAAAACTTTTTACGTTTGGGGACCAGAGCGATCAAGAAGAGGAAGACGAAGAGGAACTAAGTACCCACGATACGGACAGTGAGCAGGAATGGCAGCCTTCCGACGAACAAAATGAAGACGAAGAACATTCAGCTAGTACCAGTAATAAAGATGTGAATTTAAACAGAAAGGAAGTTCCAAAAGCTTTGTATGGAAAAGATAGAACAAAATGGTCTACTACTGCTCCAGTAAGAGGAAAGACTCTTGCAAAAACATCATAAAAGTTTTGCCCGGTTTGAAAGGAAATGCAGCACAACACAAACCTCAATCTGCCTTACAAGCCTGGAAGTTGCTTCTGACAGATGAAATATTTGGACAAATTATAACTCATACTAATACAAAAATCAGATCAGTTCAAAGTCATTATGGAAAGTTCAAGAAGAAGAGCAATAGCAGGTCGGAATTTCGGCCTTCATTTATTGGTGAAACTGACAAAACAGAAATTGAGGCATTTGTTGGTCTTCTATACTTCCTTGGGTTATACAAGTCAGGCCATGAAGATTTAAGGTCCCTTTGGGCTACTGATGGAACGGGACGTGACATATTTAGATGCACGATGTCACTTGCTAGGTTCTCCTTTCTCTTATGCTGCCTTCGATTTGACGACGAACTAACACGAAAAGAAAGAATGAAAAATACCAAACTAGCCGCTTTAGGAAATCTTTTTGAAGAATTTATCCAAAACTGTAAAGGAAACTACTCACCCGGGGAATACTTGACCGTAGATGAGATGTTGGTACCGTTTCGCGGACGCTGCAGTTTTAAGATGTTTATTCCAAGCAAGCCCGCTAAATACGGTCTTAAAGTACAAGTTCTTGCAGACTCAAAAACTCATTATTTGCTAAATGCAGAAATTTATGCGGGAAAGTCGCTGGAGAAAAGTAAATGCAAATTATCTCAACCAACACAAGTTGTTCTTCGCTTGGTGGAATCGGTAATTGGAAGTAATAGAAATATCACAGGTGACAATTGGTATTCTTCTGTAGAGTTGGTAGATGAGTTAAGTAAAGTAAATGTAACCTACGTGGGCACTCTGAAAAAAAATAAAAGGTGTATTCCTAAAGAATTTTTGCCGTCTAGATTGCGTCAAGAATTTTCAACAGAGTTCGGCTTTACTTCTGGAAAAACTCTCGTTTCATATGTACCGAAGAAAAACAAGTCAGTGATTTTGATTTCCAGTATGCATCTGTTGATAATGAAACAAAAAAACCGGAAATCATTTTGTTTTACAACGACACAAAAGCTGGAGTAGATGCCCTCGATCAAAAATGTTCCAATTATTCAACTTCCAGGAAAACTCGCCGTTGGCCCATGGCATTATTCCACATGATGCTAAATGTTGCAGGAATCAATTCTAGAGTATTACTTCAATTTTCTAAAAATGGAGAAGAAATAACAAGAAGGAATTTCTTGTTTAATTTAGCTCGTAGTTTATGTCAACGCCATATTATGGTTCGTATGTACAATAATAAGATTCCCCGTAAACTCAGAAGTTTGATGGCGAATATACTGGGAATTTCTCTTGATGTTGAAGCACAGTCTACTGAACGCATTCCTCCTTCCAAAAGAAAGCGGTGTGCTACTTGCCCATCTAAAAAGGACCAAAAAACTAGTACCTTCTGTGACAGCTGTAAAAATCCAGTATGTCGTAATTGTGCCAAAAACATATGCCCAAATTGTTTTTGATTTGCTTTTCAACACTTACATGTTATATTACAATATAACGTTTGTTTACTTTTGTCAATAAAATTATTTTGATGTTGTTTTTCTTTTAAATTTAATTTTTTTTATCTGGGTCATATTGACCCTTGGGTAGTTCAAAAGTGATTGTTTGGAAGAGTAGCTATTAAGGGTTAAGTGTCATTCCCGGCGTGTTTACATCTGAATAACTTACTACCTAGTGCTAGTTTCACAATCGCCCTCAACTTATTCTTTTCCATGTTCTTCTTTATCATCATCAGTAACCATCTCCGCTACAAAGGTTGATTATCATTAATGCTATTTTATTCTTTGAGGCTACTGTGTAACAGAACCATTCTCTAAAACTCCTTAACCAGGACGTTTTTCGTGTGCCAATACTTATTTTTTGCCCTGCATAATCAGTTTTAATAACATGTATGTTTTTCCGGGTGATATGCACCAAATACTGTATTTTTCTTGTTCTGGGAGTAAGCAGCATTTCATTCTCCATATTGAGTTCATCGAGTCGTGATAAATAAATTTCTAATTTTATCGACTCATCAACTTTCCAGGGCCCTACGGTCCACATCTCAAAATACTCTAGCTTTCCCATGCAAAGCGCATTTGAAGCCGCGCGTCTACTCCAAATAAAAGCACCGAGAAAACATAGCATTTGAGCACCAGTAATCGCAAATTCCAATTAAGTCTTCGGCTACACAGCATATGCCTCACGTTGTTGAATACATTCCGGGATTTTTATTCTGATTCTAATTTCCTTTCAACCTTGATTTTTTACATGGTTCACATTGTTATCGGGCTATTTCCACGAGTTTAGTTTTATTTATGTTTAGTGATGACCCTATCTGATCACTTACAAGCGGCACATCCGTTAAAACTCTCTGAAGATCGTCAATACTTTCTGCAAAAGGTACTGTCTCATCAGTCTATATAAAGGGTGCCGATGACTTTTTATAGTATTTCGTCTTTAAGCATTCTATTGATAATTTCACAACTGTCAGATTACGATATTCACCATAATACTCATGAGAATGTATGCTTAGGTACTTCTTGTCAAGTGAGAAGACAACCGAATCTGTTTCTACTGGACTCATACTTAATTCTTTGCACACAATTTTTTAAGTATACTAAGTGACATATAAATCCGAACACCCAGTTTAAATGGTTTTATTTTAATAAAAGTTGGTGAATGTATTTATCTTACTGTAAATAACAAGTGAAAAATTTCAGCCTTATCAGTTGGACATTCCGGTTTTTATACTGCTTTTTTTTAATTCACTAACGCTCTAAAAATGAATATTTCAGCCGCAGTAAAGAATCAACGTTGGCGGATTTTGGTTCTTGACATCCTTTACGATCGGTTACGATGCCTAGAGTACGGAGACCTGTACGATTTCGTCAACTTAGTGAGTTTGATAGGGGCCGTATAGTGGGACTTCGGGAAGCTGGACTTTCTTTTCGGGCAATTGCAGTTAGAGTGCAAAGAAGTGTAGACACTGTGGTTAGGTGTTGTCAGGCATGGCTTCGAGAAGGCCGTACGCAAAGAGCAAGGGGCACTGGACGCCGCCGTAGAACAACAGACCGTGAAGATCGCCGCCTAAGATTATTGGCCTTAAGGGACCGTTTCTCCACTACCAGGTCCATTGCAAATGAATGGTTTACAGAACACGGAAGACCTATTGGCATGCGAAGTGTTTACCGACGAATGAGAAGTTTTGGCTTGTTTTCATACCGGCCACATTGGGTCCTCACTTTAACTCGAGACCACCGACGTAATCGCCTTGAGTGGTGCAGACAACGGTCACTCTGGGATCAGGAATGGAACAGTATTGTCTTTAGTGACGAGTCTCGATTTTGTTTAGGCATGCACGATGGTCGTGCCAGGGTTAGAAGGCGACGTGGTGAAAGGAGGAATCCACAGTTTTTTGTTGAAATACATGTTCATCACACTGTTGGAGTTATGGTTTGGGGTGCTATAGCTTATGGTTCCAGGTCACCTTTAATCTTCATCAGAGGTAACATGAACGCGCAGCGTTATATCCACGAAGTTCTAGACCCATCTTTTACCCTATCTTGACACCCTGGCAGATCCAACTTTCCAACAAGATAATGCCCGACCACATGTTGCAAGAGTCATAATAGACTTCTTTCAACATAATGATGTCACATTGTTACCATGGCCACCAAGATCTCCCGACTTATCCTCAATTGAGCACGTGTGGGATATGATGGGTAGGAGATTGCTCAATTTGCAACGTCCTCCTCAGACTCTAGAAGCACTTCGAGAGGAGTTGGTGGTTGCCTGGAATGAGATACCACAGGAGGACATTGACCACCTGATCAGAAGCATGCGTAGGCGCGTTGGAGAATGCGTAGCACATCAGGGTGCATCAACACATTATTAAAGGTCAAAGGGCTTTAAAGCAGTGCAATCATTTTGAAATTTTTATCATTTACTTATTATGCTTCATTAAGTACTTGTACAAAATTTTATCAAAATAAAACCATTTAAACTGGGTGTTCGGATTTATATGTCACTTAGTATATCTCTTATTAAAATAGAGTACTGAGTGTTACTAGAATTGAACTGAATCATGTTAGACGCGGAAAAGTTTGCAGGTAACATATTGATTAAAACGTATAGTCTGTTCTGTATTAGTCAAATGTAATACCAAAAAAATGTTATTAATATTAGAGAAAGAATTACAGCAGTATCTAAAGCATTTCTGTACACTAACACGTGAAATTTGTTTCACCCTTAATTGTTTCCCACCTTCCTCAGACTCCATTGGAAAAACAATCGACCAAGAAGCGTTAAATAACCTTAATAGCCAGCCTTATACGATCCATGAACCAATCTTTCTGCGAGAACGGGCCTCGAATAGACCCAAACTACCCTGAGTGCAATTTAAGCTGATTGATCGGCTTTCTACCTTGGAACTTGGGAACCTGCTCCCACTAAATCATCACCAGGGGTTGGTTAATATTCATTCGATATTCAATAGCTCTCCAACTTAACTTGACGTTAATGATAGTATTTATAACGTTAGTACAAAAGGGGGTGCGAAGTTCGACGAGAAATGCTGTAAAGTATTAGTAAGTTTAAGGCCAACGGATTATTATATGAAAGGAAGACTATGGATGAGTGGATCAGTAGGAATAGATAATAGTGGACACCTCAAATTATTCTGTCACAAGTATGGCCCTCTTCACTGATGGCAATATTGTAACCAGCAGATATAGCTACCCGGTACTTGAAGTATGCTTAATTACCCGATACTGAGGGTTGAATCTACCCTGTACTTTTAGGTTCCATTACTTCCTTTATCAAGCTTGTTTCAAACTGTGAATGTGGCTATTTGTACTAGGGTTTCATATCTTACATTTGGCATGCAATGGAAATAACGGTATTGGAAAGTGCTTGACACCAGTAGCAATCATTGTACTAACATTTGCTAATTAATAAAAGTATTGGCAACCGCATTTTCCGCTACTAGGGACGTGCTTAAGCTGCTCATGCTTAGCGCTAAATATAGGCTATCAATTGCATTATACTAAAGAGCTTCTGACCGAGCAATACTGTTGTTACAATATTTAACTATTAGCAACTACAGTCCATCTATTATGACCATGTTGCAAGATATGTATACAGTGTGATTCAAGAAATAATGGCAATATTTCTAAAGCAGACAGTGCATCCAAAACTGTAAACATATTTCCTAATATACCCCATTGCCAGTAAAGAGTGTGTTGTAAATTTATACCTACTAATGAGACTAAGTAAGGACAAAACTTG